GCCTGCAGGTGATTATGGGCACATGGTAGGTGCAGAGTTCGATTTAGATGTACTCTCTTGAGTTTCCTTTCATCCTTTAGATTCCTTAGTAGTGACAGTTTCCCATTTTACCTATTATAGTTGTGGACTAAAGAAAATTTTTTTTACATATTTATATGTATTTGGACTTCTAGGATGAGCCATTGTTCAAGTTGCATCATAAGTTATGAAATATGACATCTGTCTTATAAAGCCATTTGTTCTCCTGAGTTTGACAACACAGCCTACTTGGTGAGGAAGGAGCCAGCTGGACCACTTCTGGGCCCTTCATCGTAAAACTTGTTATCTAACATGGTAGCAGGTGTCCTCCGAATGGCTCTGGCTTATGCTTGCCCAATGGCCTGGTGATTGATTCTAGGGGCCCCAAAGAGGCTGATGTTGGCAGCAGAGGTAAATACAGTCTGGATGTAGATATGGGAGGTGGCAAAGTGGTAAAACTATCAACCTTTATCACTGCTCAGACAGTTAGGCTTTGTTGGGGAGATGGTCTTTGAAGATAAAACTCTTGGCTTAAGCGTAAGAAGCAAAAGAAAGACCTTTAATGATTTCCTGTAGCCCTCTACTGGCCCTCATCCTATCTGAGGCTGCAAACAGACAAAGTTTAAATATTTCCTTCCAGTATTTTAATACTCTGTTAGGATAATTCCCCCAGTGGCCCCGTTTGCTTTCCTGGTATGTCCTGTTGTACTATTGTAATTTGCAGCTACACGTACTTCAAGACAGTAGCTCTGGGACAAATTGCAGGGGGTGAGGAGGTTGGGGAGGGATAACGGGGAGAAATGCCACATATAGGTGATGGGGGATGGAGGCAGCAAACCACATTGCCATGTGTGAACCTATGCAACAATGCATGATCTGCACATGTACCCCCAGAACCTAAAGTATAAAAAAAGACAGTTCTTCCTGTTTTTTTCTCCCCTCTTCCCTAAGAAAAGAGAGTGCTAATAATTCTCTAAGTTATAGCATATGTCAAGATTTTAAGTTAACACATTAATAAAGGAACCAATGGGAAAGACATAAGAAGAGTTTTCCCCAAGTTCTCACAGGAAATGTGTGTGTGTGTGTTTTTGTGTGCATGACTAGAAAAATAAAAAATGCTAGACTAAATATAAACCTGGTTAACCTTCTGCAAGGCAAGCAAAGTATAACTCCTTTTTTATACTTGTGGAGTATTTCCTTACAAGGCTACAAAAACCCTATTCATATCTGCAAGCTACCTTAATTTTACAGGACTGCAAATCATTGTGCTTTATCAGTTATGGATTGTGGGTCAAATATCCTGTGACAACAAAATACCATTTTTCAAGAATAGAAATCAGTCGGAAATTGCTGTCACCTGGCCACTCAAAGAGTGATGCTTGACCCAGCAACACTGGTGTCACTGGAGAGCTTGAAAGAAATGGAGAATTTCAGGCTTAGACTCCACCTTAGATCCTTACAATCAGAACTTGCATTTAATAAGATGCCTACATGATTTGTGTGCACATTAAAGTTTAAGAAGGTTGCTCTAGAGGGGATTTTAAAAATCAAGCAGTTGCTATTTTTACACTTTCCAAGTTTCAGATATATTTTACTTTCACGATACTTGCCACATGTCAGAGTAGGATCGGGGTAAGCCCAGGTCTCAGCCCTCGGAATGATCCACAGTTCTAATCACCGGGCCTACAATGACTAAATCCTTTCAGAAAGTTCCAGGCAGGCTGCCTTCGGCCAATTTAGTGCAGTAGCTCTCTTCTCCTGCTTCCAGGGGAGGCCTTGGAATTAGGGTTGCCGTAGGAAGTTATCAGGGAGCTCGGTTTTTGGCCTGGTTCTGCCATGGTATGTGCTGGGGCTTGACATGAATCATTTGCATTAATCCTCACTAAATTCGGATGAGGAGGCAGCATCACCCTCGTTTCTCAGAGAAGTGCCCAAGAGCACATGATTAGAAAGCACAAAGGTGGGAATGGAAATCTGGCATGATTCCAAATCCCTTCTTCCTTCTGTGTGACCTTCCATCACAGAGCCAACAAAGTTCATAGTTTTCTGAACTTAATTCTTCAAATCTCCTTTTACCTCTAACATTTTTGAATTAATTGATACATTGAACTCTTCTAACCCTCATTGATAATGAAGAGAAATCCTGTCAGATTTACTAATAATCGACATCACCTTCATACCATTACTAGCACCAATAATTCTCTTTTCAAAACTCTGTACTCTGAGTATTCAGCGCACAGTTCTAGCTTATCATTTATGAAAGTAGCTTCTCCCATTATCTGCTTCTCCCACTTGAGACCACTTTCTGGGGAAAAGAATGGGAAACTGTGTCTTATTTATGTTTATATCCCCAGAAGCTAGTAGAGTCATTTATATATGTTTCGTGCTTGATATATGTTTATTGAACTAAATTAAACCAGTAGACATGGCAACTGCATCAGGAAACTCCCCAATTGTAGGACTCAGTTGTCCAAATTAATCTCTAATCTAAATCCATCATTCTACGTATATCCTTACATTTTTTCCGTAAAATAAAACTACCATTCCATTGCACAGTGGAGGATTTGTTTCACACATCAATTTTTTCAGCCGGGTGCGGTAGCTCAGGCCTGTAATCCCAGCACTTTGGGAGGCTGAGGCGGGTGGATCAGGAGGTCAAGAGATCGAGACCATCCTGGTCAACATGGTGAAACCCCGTCTCTACTAAAAATAGAAAAATTAGTTGGGCATGGTGGTGCGTGCCTGTAATCCAAGCTACTCAGGAGGCTGAGGCACGAGAATTGCCTGAACCCAGGAGGTGGAGGTTGCGGTGAGCCGAGATAGTACCATTGCACTCCAGCCTGGGTAACAAGAGCGAAACTCCATCTCAAAAAAAAAAAAATTTTTTTTCAAATAGGCAGGGGTCTTCTGCTCTACATCCTTCAACTGAGGCAATCAATAATGCTCAGCTGAACAAAAATTTGAAAGAGGTGTAAGTGATAAGGGAATTAAATGGCGATATGAAAACCATTGATCTGTTTAGAAATGATAGTGTCAAAAAAGGAATGTGTCTGTATGGGGTTGACTTAGGTCAGGGGTTCTAAACTAGGGGCCACTTTTCAACCTCCTCAGAGATATTTGGCAATATCTAGAGATATTTTTGGTTGTCATAATGGGTTGGGGAGAAGACTTAATACATTCTTATTGGTTGATTGCTTGGCTGGGTACATGGCTTCTGATACCTTCTGCATGTCCACAATGGAATAGTCATTGTCTAATAATAACCAGAGGCACCACAAATCCCCGAACAGAGTGTGGCTTTTTCAGGACCTTCTCTTTCTCTCAAATCCTGGGCTCTCCACCATCGTGTTATTTATCTGTTTACGTTTATGCTCATCACAAATAACTAGACCATAAATTTCTTGCTTCCAGAGACTATATATCTTACTTCACCATACCCCATTGGCCAAATTTCTTATAGTTCTGCCTTAAAACACTTCAGCATTCAAGACGTGCTAATGATGCTTTATTTTTGGGATCCAATTATTAGATTGTTGGTCCTTCTTAAATAGTCTCTATGTTAAATTGCAACTAACCAGAATATGAAGTGACCCAAATTGCTCTCTCACGAATTTGAATAAATTAGGATTCATGGTACTTCGTATTCAGGTTTGTGTTCTTGAGGTCAGGTTCTTGATGTAACTTAAGCTGTTTAGGGTTAGAGAGGAACTCCTTAAGTTCTATTTTCTTCCTTGATTTCCTAGCTTGTGAAGATATTGCTCTTATCTGAGAAATAAAATAGAGACTTCACTCATACACACATGCAAAAATCAAAAACAAAAAATGAAAGCTGATCTGTTCAGGTAGATAAATTGTGATTGGTATGCATGATTGGAATTTGACCTTTAAAGAATTTTGACAATAGGATCAGCCCTCCATAAGTTTGTGACATACGTAGAAGTTGTGTCCAGCACTCAACTCCTTAATTCCCTAGACATCCTATAATATGTCCACTGGCCCCTCCCCACCATGATATCTCCCCACCTTTATCAGAAGTCACTGATGTCTGCACCAGAAGGAACACCTAAGGAGCGGTTACTATTTTGGTGCTGAGTAATTTCTTGCCCATGCCAGAAACACTTGTATTTTAAAACAGAAGCTCAAAAAAGGAATAACTAACATGGGATATTAAATATCAGATAATTAGGGTTGAATAGATTTTCAAGGAGGCTTTTCTCAGTGTCCCTCAAGTGACACTATGTTTAAGCCTGAGCAGATAAAACAAGCACCAAAAAGACCTCAGGTTGGAGTCCTGTGAAATGAGAATAGGATTTTCAAAAATTCATGTTTCAACTTTCGTTCTCATTATTTCCTGTTCCCTGCTATCAACTGGGAACAAGCACCTTGAGCTTCTAATAGAGGAAGAAAGACAGCTTTTAAGGCTGTTTGATCTTTGCAAGCTTACGTCATACCAGGAAGCTTAATAATAGAGAAACTACAAATAATTTAATTTTATTGGTGCCAGGAATTGGTTTTCTTTGGGACTTTTTCTGGTCCGAAATTTAAGTTCAAAAGTAGTCTAGAGAATGCACTTTGGAAAGGTCATAGTATCTCTGATGGTAGCAATACTTAAGTAAGCCCCTGCTATGTGTCTGGCCCCAGCCTGAACACTTACTATTTTCAAAAATCCACCTCTGGATTACATGACTTTGGACATTTACATTGATGTTAAATGACCTTACTAGTAGGTTACTCTTTTGCTATTACCTCCATGTTCTGGATGAGGAAGCCAAAAGTGAAAGTAAATAAATTCTAGAGCCAAAGCTGGAACCCGCATTGCCTGGCTGCAGGTTTCTCAGCCTCTTGCTGTATTGCTTTTCCAGTCCTATCCAGGCTGCCTCTGCTGTCTTCGGGGAGTTTTCTCACTGAAGGGAGTGTCTATGCATGAGGTAAATGAAAGACGATTTGCTAAATATGCTAATGCAGCTTTTCTTGCTTTCCAGGTTTTGGAGGTGCCATGGGTTACCTTTTGGGTGCTATAGACTGGGCCCATCTGGAACTGGGAAGACTGCTGAGTACAGAATTCCAGGTCATGTTCTTATTCTCTGCGTTGGTGCTCACTTTGTGTTTTATTGTTCATCTGTGCAGTATCTCTGAAGTCCCACTTACAGATGTTGCAAAGGGCGTTCCCCCACAGCCACCCCCCCAGGACCCTCCATTGTCATCAGATGGAATGTACGAATATGGTTCCATCAAGGAAGTTAAAAATGGTTATGTAAATCCAGAGCTGGCAATGCAGGGAGCAAAAAACAAAAATCATGCTGAACAGGTAAAGATGAAAAATTTTTTTCTTTACAGGGGAAAAATATTCTTGCTCTTTATTCTTCTTTTTTAAAAAAAATTCTTTGTTTTGTTTGTGCGTTTGATGTGAAGAGTTTCATGGAGTCTAATTGAATTCCCAAATCCCCAGTAGCTACCATCCCTCGGAATTAAAATTTTGTATCTCTAAGAAAAATGTCTGCATTTTCCTCTGGTCCTCCTGTCTCTTCTTTCAGAGTGTCCAGCCATGGACGATGAAGCCAGTTGAGGAAGGTTAGACCACAAGAGAAGCCGAAACTCATCCTTAGGCCAGTGTAGGGAACCAGCCCTGTATTACCCGTGGGTACCCTGAGTTTGGTGGTGACAAAGGAATGAGAAAAAGACAGAGTAAGAGAGAAAGTGGGACCAGGGAGCCATCACTCATTACTGGAGGAGACAGTGAAGGCCCCGAGCTCTGATCATTCACACTATTTGTTGATTACAATCACTTTGATCTAAAGGATAGGGGTGGAGTGATGGTGGAGTGAATCAGTGAGCCGGAAGTGAATCAAGTCGGAACTGGTGTGTCATCCTAAGGATTGATAACAGTGGTGGTTTGGGAGTTTCCCAAAACAAGAACATGTGGTTATCTTTAGCTTATTATCTATGTACAGCTGGTGGAACGTAGACCTTCCAAGGAGCCTACAAGTCTGGCTACGTCATAGTGCTACGAAGGGGTTTTATGCCCTTGAGTACAGTGTTTATGGTAACAGAGCTGAGGTCACCCTGCACTGGAACATGAGGCATGCAGAGGCCCTCCTCCTCAGAGGCCTCCTGCGGCCTTCCGCAGTTTGTTGTTCCTTGTGTACGTGTTACTCATAACTAATTTATGTAGGCACTCTGTAAGTCCTTTCTCCTTTCTGCTTTTCCCAGCAAGCCAGAAGAAATACCTCTTAGATTAGGATCATAGATTAGAAGTTTTTTCCTCCAAATGGTAGCATCCTTGGATTGGTGACTGAGTTGGGCATATTGAATTTGTGTGTCATGAGTTGAAAGGATACTTTAGCTCATTTTCAGTGAACTGCACAGTGAATTCATTAGCTTAAAATTTGAAGTAAAACTCAACTAACTGCCAGAGAAATGAGACCATGTTTAGATGAAATGATCAGAGAAGAGACTAGAATTAAGCTGAGCAATATGGTAGCTAATAATTCCATGGGACTATTTAAATAAAAACAAAAATAGAACTTCATTTCTTTAGTTGCATTAGCTATATTTTAATGCTCAATGTCCCCATAGGGCTTGTAGCTAAAATATAGGAGAGTGCAAATGTAAGATGTTCTTATCACTGTAGAAACTTCTATTGGGCAAAACTGACGAAATAATTGCATTTTCCTTCAAGCTAGGATTGAATGCCAACACCTCAGGGATATAACAAAGGATTCCATGATTGACAAAGGGGTTGAAGAAGACTTGGGTTCAAATCTTGCTTCCTCTAGCTGCTGACTTGTTATTCATTCCGCAAATCACAAATAGCTACATGCTCTAAGGTAGCCTAAAGATTAAAAGCACGGGTGGTTAAACCCTGGCTATACCACCTCTGGATTGCATGACTGGGCATTTGTACTTTTGTTAAATGAGAAAGTAATTCCATCTGTTTCCAAGGATTTTTGTGCAGGTTACAGGGCTAATCCATGTAAGGTTATTTAGAGTGTTTGCCACCACACGGTAAGGTGTTGGGTGTAGGTCTTGCTATTACGACCCCGGGAGAATGCTGAATGCTTTAAGCACAAACGGAACACAAATCTGGACTCCAATAACTTTCAGATAAGCTCAGTGAATCTCACCTTCCTATAAAGTCAACTTCTCTTGCTGGCTTGGCCAGTCTATTTTCTAGGATTATTAGGATGTTCAACTAAGATAAAGCATGTAAAGACACTTTTTCAAACTTTACATAAGTATATCAATACATTCTAATCATTATTCATTTAACAAACAGCTTTGGATACTGAGTATGTGCAAAATACTGTACTAGATATTTAACTGACAAGTGTCCAGTCTTTATGCCCAGGAATTTACCTAAGAGGTGGCATAAGCCATTTATACCATGACTTATAACCCATTATAGAACATGGTAAATGATATAGAAACAGTGTATCAGTTCAGATTTTCTAAAACGGCACCGAGACAGAATTTGACATATAAGATACTCATTGGAGAAAACAGCATGAAAGATAAAGTGGGGAGAAGCAGAAGTAGGAAGAGAAAGTCTTCTTATCTTGATGCAAGTCAAACACCTGTGAAAGGAGAAAGAAAAGGAAGGAGGATGGGGTAGGAAGCCTTTCAGATGCAGTGAAGTTCCCAGAAAGTTTCACCCAGGCCAAACAGAAGTCCTCCAGCCAAAGTTGCTCCTTAGAAGAGTCCCAGCTCTTGTAGGAACAGGCCAGCACTAATACCCCCAGCTTGCTTAGTCATTATCTGGGAATAGCCATGGAAAGGGTAACCTTGGCAGGAACAGGTAGTGGATCCGGAGAGATAGCATTCAGGGCTGTCAATCAACTGTGTTTTCTCCAGGAGGAAACCCAAATGGCACATTTCCAAGGTGGCCACAAACGGCATAACAAAAATTGCTGTTAGTTTAAAGGGAGAAAGATTGTGCCTAAGCAAACAGAGAAAGGCTTCATGGAGGAGGTCAACCTTGAGTTGTGCCTTGAATGATAGTTACGATTTGAATAGGTAGAGACTTTGGGGGAAAAATACTTCTTACAGAAGGACATCAGCAAAGCCACAGATATAAAACAAATATTTTAAAAGTATGAAGCATGTTTGGAGAAAGTGTAAGTGGTACAGTAGATCACAGAGTTTGTAACATTAGAAATAAAGTTAGGAAAGCAAATTGGAGCCAGATTTTGGATGCTTCTGAATGTCAGCATAGGACTAAAATTTTATTAGGTAGATGATAGATGTCCATCAAAACTAGTGGGGTGGAGGACTCCTTGATGTTAGCCTTTTTTTGGTTTCTTTTTTGTTTTTGATATTAATCTGGTTACTGACTGCAGGGAATAAAGAGGAACGCAGGAGGGTTTATTTGGGTGAATAATAAGAATTCTTAGAATGAGTTGCACTGTGTACATGGTTCATTGGCTTATGCATTCTTTTATTCATTCAATAACTATTAATTACCCCTGCCAGACCCGGTGCTGAGCATCAGGAGACTGTAGTAAACACCACAGCCCTTGTTCAGCCCCATGGAGTTATCACCTAGCAAAGTATGCTCATGTGTTATTTTGCCTTCTTAATCAAAGTTTAATTTGTGAATAATTTTAGATTTACAAAAAAGCTGCAGATAGTAGAGAGAGTTCCTGTCTATGCTTTACCAGCTTCTCCCTTATGTTAACATCTTAGAGAACCGTGCACATTTGTCGAAACTAAGAAATTAACATTGCTACAATGCTGTTAACAGCAGACTTATTTGTATTTCGCCAGTTTTTCTACTAATGTCCTTTCTTTTTCTTTTTTTGTTAAAAAAGGCATTTAAAAAAAAATTCCGTAAGTAATTGGGGAACAGGTGGTGTTTGGTTACATGAGTAAGTTCTTTAGTGGTGATTTATGAGATTTTGGTGCACTCATCACCTAAGCAGTACACACTGCACCCAATATGTAGTCTTTTATCCCTCACCTCCTTTCCACCCTTACCCTCTGAGTCCCCAGTGTCCATTGTGTCATTCTTATGCCTTTGCATCCTTGTAGCTTAGCTCCCACTTATGAGCAAGAACATAAAATGTTTGATTTTCCATTCCTGAGTTACTTCACTTTCAATGATAGCCTTCAATGTCATCCAGGTCAATGTGAATGCCATTAATTCATTCCTTTTATGGCTGAGTAGTATTCCATCATATGTATGTGTATATATACATATTAGGTAGATGATGGAAGTCCATATATATATATCACAGTTTCTTTATCCACTCGTTGATTGATGGGCATTTAGTTTTGTTCCACATTTTTGCAATTGCAAATTGTGCTGCTATAAACATGTGTATGCAAGTATCCTTTTCATATAATGACTCCTTTTCCTCTGGGTGGATACCCAGTAGTGAGCTTCTGCATGGCAAAAGGAACAGTCAGCAGAGTAAACAGACAACGCACAGAGTGGGAGAAAATCTTCACAATCTATACATCTGACAAACAACTAATATCCAGAATCTACAATAAACTTAAACAAATTAGCAAGAAAAAAACAAACAATCCTATCAAAAAGTGGGCTAAGGACATCAATAGACAATTCTCAAAAGACAATATACAAATGGCCAACAAACATGAAAAAATGCTCAACATCACTAACGATCAGGGAAACGCAAATCAAAACCACAATGCGATACCACCTCACTACTCCAAGAATGGCCACACCAAAAAAGTAATAGATGCCGACATGGGTGTGGTGAACAGGGAATGCTTCTATACTGCTGGTGGGAATGTAAATTAGTACAACAATGGAGAACAGTCTGGAGATTCCTTAAAGAACTGAAAGTAGAACTACCATTTGATCCAGCAATCCTGCTCCTGGGTAATATCCTTTTTCTGATGCAGTCTAGGATACCACATTACATTTAGCTAAATGGGTTACAAAATTTAAAAACTTTACTTTACTTTAATGGTATTTTAAGGAATTTTTTTTTTTTTGCTACGTATAGTCAGTAGAAAACCTCATATTTTGTATTCAGTTATGTGTATGAATAAAAGCAATACATCTTAGCTACTAAGTTACAAAAGTCTGTAAGTAGTTTTTCTTGAGGTCAAGTACTGTCTCACGTATTGTTTACTCCATTTATTTGCTTAGCATTTTTTCCAAATAAATGCAAAAGTAAATTTTTACATGGCTTATGTTTAAATTGGCAAAATGGTTGAGTATGATCTGCTGAAAGGAGGCCTCATTCTATCGACATGACTACCTTGGAGTTGAGTTGCCACAGTGCATCAACTTGCCTCTCCCCATGCCATTTGATAGGAGAATGCAGTCGAAGAGACTAA